CACCCATCAAAAAAAAATACTTAGTACTTTCTATACTGATTTACATGGGATGCAGTTAGTAGGTTCATCGCAGCCTACCGTCTTCTCTCAGATAAACTACAGTTTTTTAACACTATTTTTCAGCATCAGAGAATTAGTATTTCGTGTAGACTAGATTTAAACTCACGATCTTTGAAGTAATACTCACTCTCTTTCATAAGTGACAAATAATCACACAAATTATATGATCCTTAAGCCAGAATACCTACCCTGTGTTATAAAAATTACCCAGTTTCTTCTAACATCTTAGGGTACAACCTAGAATACCTAGATCCGAGACATAATTATTTATAGTAGGTACATTGATTTATTCACAATATTAATAACGTTCCTTGCAAATGTTTACTTATAACAATCACTGCAATTGAGACGTGCTTTTACTTTCTTATACCTACTTGTAATAACTTGTAATAGCTTTCTTTTCATAAAAATAATAAGTAGATGTAATATTGTATTTGTGTTGGAAAGAATTATTGAAGTGCGTCACAATGAATTTCTTAACATTCTTTATTTAGTTTGCTGTTGCGATGGTCTTATGTGTAAAGCTATAAGGTTCATATTCATCCTAAGATATATTTCTTATACTAAGTGGTATTGTGAAGTGAATCCATCGAGTGGCTTTCGTGAAGTTTTCGAACGCCATTGAGGTTAGTATTGTATCAACACTTTCAACCCCTTGTGTCTTTAATGTAATGAGTATTATAATGTAATCGCAGATACTGTACAACTGTACAATATCTGCGATTACATTACATTACATTACAAGGAAATAATTTTTTGTTTAACTCTGTGAAGAGAAAGGATAAGTTTTTTTCACGGTGTTTAAAATTTTATTATTTTTATAAATGAGGGCGTTCCTCACTTAGCTTTACAGTTATAAATCTTTAATACAATTAGATATCTTTATTTGTTACTAATGACAGTAGTAGAGTTTTAATAGATACATATCTAAGGCATTTCCATTTTACTTATGTACTGCATTGTTGCATTTTACAGTAGGTATATCTGTCGTACCTATTACGCCCGTGTAACGTATAAGCAGCAGACAGTTGTTTCTGGGAAAATCTGACTTTAAAGATTTTAAAATATTTTCAGTTATATTCGTAAAGTAATGAATTTAAGAAGCATTTTATTTTCATCCAGTAGCCAAACATACATTTTAAAAGAGACATCTAACTATATATTCTGTCAACTCTAAGCTGTCAAATCTAAACCTAGTCATAAATAAAAAAATAACTTTTTGTGACCTAATTTGGATAAAAATTGGTGAACAGTGGAACTAATAAAGCTTATTATAGCTATATTAGATTTTTAATATCTTTTTTTAATCTAATTAGGCTACGCTAGAGTTTGTTAACTGCTTTCTCAATCTGTATGTAAGCGTTTCGTCGTTCGTTGTATTATTTAGTCCTATTTTCAAATAAATCCTTTTCATTCTGCGTGTACTACCGCTTGTACAATGTTTTATGTCCATTTATGTGAATTATTTAACATGATGCCCACGGCCTCTTTCTAGCATCGTATAGTTCGTTACCGACGGGGATTTCACCTCCATACCTTAGAGCCGTGTGTAGAAATGCCAGCGCGGTTTTAGAGATGGTTCCTCCTGCGAACAGCATGAACAGCATGAAATTTTTCAAAAAGGGGTAAAGAAATTTTTTCAGGGTCGGCAACGCGTGTGTAATGTTCATAGACTACGATAATCGTTTACCATCAGATGGGCTGTATGCTTGTTTTGCTACGTCAGTGGTGTAAAAAAAAAGTTAATCGTGGTAAGACCATGAGGAGTAGGTTCATCAGTTCTTAGCCTAGACATGTAATGGTAGCTCGTTCTTTGTAAGTTTTGGAGTTTCTCAAAGAACCACAAAACGTGAATACGTTATAAATTCATAACATAAGTACATCTTAGAAATTTAAGAATACCTTCTTAAATTTTCAATAACACCCACCAAATATATTTTATTTCATGAAACCCCATAGCAAATGATTGTAATTTAAATAAGAATAAAAAAAATATTACAAATTTTTTAAAATTAAACTCTTTATTTTTTTACTTTAAACTTTAAGGTTAAAGTATAGAATAAATATTTACTCTAACTTTCATATATATCTACATACATATATACATTCAAAATACCCAATATTTGTAGTCAACTGTGGTATTATTTAATAGCTAAAAATAAAAAATAAAATCGTAGAATTCTGGTAGCTTTTTTACGGAGCCCTAGGGTCCGTTGAACCGACCGATAGAGCACTATAGCCATATGTCCCGGCATAAAATGGGCCACCCCTTCCTTTTCCGTGAGTGTCGTAAGAGTTGTCTAAGACAACTTAATAGTTGAGGGATGGGCAACAGCGTCCCTTTTAAAACAACATTGAAGCCTAACTATGATATTGCCAACCCGCCTGCCAAGCGTGGCAACTACTGGCAAAATCCCTAAATGGGGAAGATCTATGTCCAGCAGTGGACAGTTGCGATTAACGTGTGTAATGTGATACTCTCCTCTTTCTGAGTAGGGGTTTCCTTGTCTTTTATAAGAGTGTGTGGGATGGTTATACCTATTATTTAACGCAATTTTGATGGAGAGGTCCCTCGTTACGTGTCTCGTCTCATGTTTGCTCTTCGATATACCTAAATAACATCTATACAATAACAGTGTTATCTATAGTTAATTAACTAACTTTAAATAGGAAAAATATTGAATGGACATGTACTCTATTTCCTCTAAAATGTAAAATCTACCACTTAGATAGTATTAAAGAAATACGATAAAACAACCAAAACTATAAAAGTCGGGAGATTTTATGTTTTTTTTATGCAACTTGGTATGTCAAACAAGCTGACGGCCCACCTGATGGAAAGTGGTAACCGTCGCCTATAAACATGAGCAGTAGCATGGATATAACAGAGTACCTGTTTCGCCCATGATACCCCCCATACGTTGCCATTCCTGAGGACTCAGGTGTTATTCCTTTGTACCCTGTAAATTCACGTCATATCCCATTCTTCAAACCGAAACACAGCCATGCAAATACAACTGCTTCACGGTAGAAACACGAATGGGACAGAGGTGCACAAGCAATCGACTTTTGTACAAAGTCTCCCTCTTATTATCAATTCTTATTATTGACTACTATGAAAATTTCCTACCTGTATATTTTTATATACGAGTATATCTACTATGATATCAATGGCAGCTAATCGTTATAAAATCAATATAATTTTCAATCTATATCTACTCGAATATAGAGGGAGTTCTATTAATTAATTATTATTTATTATTATTAATTCAAATTATGACTAATATTATAATTATTTTTTTCAATCTAGTTTAAAATATAGAATATCGTTCCATATGGAATCTTGACAAAATATTAGCTTGTGTAGTTTCCTGAACATTTGACAGACTTTGATTTAGCTGTCTTTGATTTTATAGGCCTCATTTATATCTTAATATTTGTTACAAAACGGTGGAGAAATATAGCCTTTGTTTTTAAGGATTTCATATCTTTGTATATCCTCTTGTTTTTTTTTTTAATAATTTATTATTTATATATTTTTTAGTTATTTTAAAATTGTAGTACCTAAATAGTTTGGATACCATAAAGAGAGAGTTAAACATTAACCAGTGCTTAAGTAAAAATAATTATTAGCTAGCTTAATGATTTCAACTTTTTGACTAATTTATTGTACTACATTTCTGATTAATAAATTTAAATAAAAAATACCTTTGCTATGCAATGTAAGTATGTATATTTCTTTAGAAAATAAAAATAATAATCCACCTTCATTTAAATCTGTAGAACATTTCCTTTTAAAGATGCTAATAAATTCGATTTGTTGTGTTGTGAAATATCGAATTTTTGATGAGAGGCAATACAAGAGCGTATACCGGATGTTTTTTTATAATTATACCCATACTTTTGTATGTGACGCATTATCGTTAAAAGGAAATGTCTAAAAAAGAATTTATAATTTATTTTTTTTTCAATTTGTCCAATCATAAAAATGTAATTGTGTATAACATAAAGATAACGACAACTAGGCATTTATTCATTACCTACCTACATGTTCATTGTTGTTATTCTTATCTTTTCGGTGATCAGACAACATAACAGGTATCTACCTACATGGTAGCTGATTCCATGGATCATTTTTTATCGACTCTACATTTTATGTAAATAGGTAAAAACACATTCTCTATTGTCATTAATGAATAAAATTACATTACTACGTGCATTCAATAAAAAATATCCTACACTAATCTATACCATAAGAGTGTAATATTATAGGTGGCATTGTTTTATTGAATTGTAAATATACCTGCCTATCTAATTAGGCAGGTATATTTACTACTAAGTCGTCAAATAAATAAACATAGTTATTATCAACCCACTTATTGATTAAACTTCATCCGAACTTTGTTCACCTTTCATCTACCTCGCAAACTTATTTTGAATACTGCTACAATTATACTGTGGCCGTAGTTACGTCAAAAATGGCGGAAAGTAAACTTTATAGCTTTAGGTTCTATAAATAACCCAAATTAATTATTACGTTAGATCAGTGATGAGGCGTTAAGAAATGAAACGCTTGTCAGTTAATTTCAACAAGTTCATTTATCAGTAATGTTTGTTTGTTAATATTAATGGCGAGGTGTGTGTCGCGTGGCGTTACAACACGCGTTCATCCGCGGCGGCATCTAGGCTCATATTGATTACCGGTGACATTCTTATCAATACACCCCCGGCGCGCGACGCGCGGCCGCACCACACAACACCCAAAAGAAACAGGAACGTTTCTTCGCGCGTTCTCGTCGAACTCAACGAAAAAAGGGCGGAGACACCGCGACGGCGTCGTCGCCCAATAGAGCCGTACGTGAAACGGCGTCCGACCAATCGCGGCCGACCGCCGGGGCGTTCGCGCGCACGCGGCCGCGCCCTCGTCGACTCAGGCTTTTTATTTATTGTTGCGCGGAACAGCGCGCGCGACGGGTGTGTGATGCGTGCGTAGTCAGATATTACGAGAATGGAGTCCGCCGTGGACTCAGCGTCGACAGCGAGCGAGGTGAGCGGCTCCTCCGGGGGCTCGCCCAGGGTGAAGGCCGCTTCGCCGGCACGAGCGCTGAGCCCGCCGCAGCTGCTGGCACCGCGGCTGCCGCTGCCGCCGCCGGGGCTGGGCCTGCTGGGCTCGCTGCAGATGATGCACCACTCGCCGCTCGAGCTGATGGCGGCGGCGCACCACCACGGCCCGCCGCGTTACGGCAGCCCGCCGCCCATCTCCACATCGGACCCCTCGGCCAACGAGTGCAAGCTGGTCGATTACCGTGGGCAAAAGGTTGCCGCGTTCATAATTCAGGGCGACACAATGTTGTGTCTGCCGCAAGCGTTCGAACTCTTTCTGAAACATTTGGTTGGCGGACTGCACACAGTGTATACGAAACTAAAAAGGCTGGACATTGTGCCGCTTGTCTGCAACGTCGAGCAGGTCCGCATTCTGCGCGGCCTCGGTGCCATCCAACCGGGCGTCAATCGCTGCAAGCTGCTCTCCTGCAAAGACTTTGACATCCTCTACAGAGACTGCACCACCGCCAGGTACGTTCCGTTTACGAAAGCACACATTTGTAATCGTGGATGTGACAGTAACTGAGTTATATCTAAGTATAGATTTAGAACGACATTGTTTTGCAACCAGTTTAGTCGAACAAGTGTTTAATAATTTGGTTTTGTTTTGTGCTTTCGCCTTTACTTTTATTTTAAGATTTTTTTATTTTTTGTTATTGTTGACCTATTTTATTAATGTAATTTGTTTTATTAATTTAACATACACCTACCTATAGCCATGTAATATATACTTAAATGTATAACTGCATATAGTATTATAATCTTATAGTCACAAGGTCAAGTAATGAAAACTATGTACAACTACTGGATTTTGCCTGAGATACACCTGATTTGTGTTTATTGTTTTACAAACTATAAAAAATACAAAAAGTTTCAATTAATTTGTTACGATGTAGGAGGGTTACTTTTTACTCGTACCTATCTGTTGATCACGGTCAGTAAACTGTTAGATATCTATATATTTATTATAATTATTTAGGCATTTTTTTTCCCAAATACACTGCAGACGATACCACTGGGCTATGACTACTAGCCAAAATCGTGGAAGTCGGTAGTTTGGCATGGGAGTGCTCTACCGGGAGGGTTAGCGAGCCATTAATTTTTCACATTTTAATACGCGCCAAATATTACCACCGGGTTAAATTTTAAAATGAGCTTCGGCGACGGAAGGGTTAAATCCCTGTTAATTAGCGGTCGAGGCGTAAATTTTTAAATAGTAATTTTTACAAAAGCTAAAGTTAGATTAAAAAATCTTGTTTTGTTGTGGTGCGCGCATCGTCGCGTAGGCCTATACAGCGCTGCTCGGATGCGATTTTAAAAATGTAATGTTCCGGAAACTGTTCGCCGGGGAGGCGTAAAGTTTAATTTTTTCGCTCATATCGACGCTTTGTGTTTGTAATAATTAATGTTTGTTTATTGCTAACGGAAACATTAGAGACGCGCGGCGAACACGGGTGCTGTGGACGCCGTGGTGTTCGCGACGAGAGGTCACGTTTCTAATAAAAAGAAAGGATTTCCACTAATTGACAGATTTAATTTATATGATAAATAAGTACTAATGGACATATTATACAGCGCCATCTAGTTCCAAATTAAGCAGAGCTTGTTTTTTGGGTACTAAAATGTCCTAACGGAACTAATGGGCATAATTAAATTGTATTATTTTTGAAAATTCATACAGATTATACATAGAAAATATCCAGACAGATATCTATAAATAAACATACCAATTCTTGAATACAAATGTTTTAATGTACGGGAATTAAACCTGCGACCACTGGAAGGACGATATATAATTGTTAGGTATATAAAAAAATATATTTTTATACTCAAAGGTAACGTAACTCTAGATCTAATAACTACGTTATGAAACACTACATATAAACTCCACTTTAAACTTACTATAGGTAATAGGTATCTAGTTTAACGATTCTTATACACGATAAGACTGAATATAATATTATCTGTATTTAGTTGCCAAGCTAGAAATATAAGTACTTTTGCCATGTTTTCTGTTATTAAATTAAAAAAGAAGAACTTAGACGCTCATTGTTAGCTATTTACCTAGGTTGGTAGCTAACAAATACATTTTTAGGGCAAAATAGTGTGCCTATTATGTAGGTAAGACTAATTGTCTTGTTATCAGCTAATTAATGAAATTATCAAATTTGGGAAGAAAAGAATAGATAGGTAGACCTACAAGTTTTTAACTAAAATATTATACAAAGAAAAAATAATTAATATATTTACTATTTATTTAATTAGGTTAGTTATTACCATGTAAAGATGGTGATCAGTTTACAGTTTTATTTTTTATTATTTATAACTACAACTTTTTTAGCATTTATTAAAAATTCAACATTCATTGCCTTTCGAATTTCCTATCGAATTTTTATTTTTAACCGTTCCAATCCAGTAGGTTAAGTAACTTGCTTATATGGATAAAAATAAAAAATAAAATAATAATTACATTGATTTTTTAAGTTTATTTCATTTGGTAATGAATTATAGATATTTAATAATACATATGATAATTTCACATCTATAACAAACATATAAAATATACACTTAGAAGTTATGAAGGTAAAAAATATTTTTTAAATCGGGTATAAGGGTTCTGAGTTGGTTATAGGTACTTACCTACTACGTAAAGTATGCTTTGCAGAGGGCAAACTTACCGTAGGTTTGCCTTCTGCAAAGCATAATCACACTCTAAAGAACTCTATTACAATACGCTCTGGAACTACCTATAGGTATTATCTGTTATTGTTTTGAGTTAAATAGCGAGTTATATATTTTAACAGAATATAGACTAGTCAAGTACCTATTAGGTATTCACGCTGATGACAACAGTCAAAGATAGCCAACTCACTCATGTGTAGGATTCTAGTAGTTATTACTTAGTATAAAGCACCCACCCAATGTATTTAATATATATCATAATACACTATTAATAATATAATAAATGCGAAACCTTGTAACGATGAATCAGTAAATGGAAGTTTGTTATTCTTTCATGGAAAAATTACTAAATGGATTGATATGGATGAATATTTGGTATAGGAGTACGTTATATCCAAACTTAGGACACAGGATAGTTTATACATTGATACACGCTGGTGTAGCCGCGGAACATAGATAGTTATAAATATTTTAAGGCCTCAGATTATTAACTTACTAAATATTGATGATTAATCATCTTACTTATTTTTTTACACCTACCTCACTAGATATTATTGCGAAATTACTATAATATAAACTATAATCGTAACGATTATACCAAACTGAAACTAAAGATAGTATTTATGAAGTTGAATAACTTAGCCTAAGGACTATAGTCGTAATTTCAAATAATTTTTTGACACCCCATGATGATGTTTAGTATAAAATATAAAAAAAAATATCTTCGGATTTCGACTATGCTATATATATGCTATATATACGCTGGCTTGGTATTTCTGTTACACGGTGAACTGCGATTATGAATACCAATTATTATAAAGTAACATTCACTAAAAAAATTAAAATATGGGCATCGTCTGTCTGTACTGTGGTAAATAATACACGGTTTTTAACTGTTAGATACTTTTATTTTATTACTCCTATATATATACGATATACGTCTTTACTCCTCAAGAATCTACGCTCGACTGCACAACATTCAACCATGTTATCCGTGTGCAATAAAGATAATTAATAATTTTGCTCTACCCTACATTGCTAATAATAAAATAATTTTATTTTTTGTCAATTTAATATCTTACAACAAATAAATGCAAAAAGAAATGAAAATATAAAATCAGATTTAAAACAGAAATGAAATAAACAAAACATAAAATAATAATGAAATTTACGACAATAAACAAAAATGAAGTAAGACTTAGAGCCAATTTAAAACTTAATTACTAATGATAAAACACAATTTTGCTTGTGTCAAAATAGGCAAAGTAATTGAGAATAACAGTTCAATTTGTAAGTAAGCCTACATTTGCTCGATCATTTTTTGGCTCATTGTAACAAAAGACTACAGGGTTTTATGATTGAAGACCCTATGATGGTACCGACTTATTTCTAGTCTATACTAGAAGATGCTAAAATATATTCAAAATTATTTTATTTTTAAAATTTTTATTATATATTATATTATCTGTAATATAACAGTAACTATATATCTTTAATATATTTTACATTTTTTTTAATGTTACTTATATTTGTTGTTACTGTTATTTACAACTTAGATATTTTATTTAATTAAACATTAAAAGTGAATGCCTTCTTATTTTATGAACAAGATTAAGGTTATAATGTAATAGATATAATAAAATTTAAGCAAAAAAGTATTTGACTCTGGCGGCGGTCTCGGAACCAAAGCCGTGTTGAACTAATCCATATTGACACGTTTCCACTATTACGATTTCACTAATGGCATCAACTCACAATCACAATCGTGTTTCTTTTATTAAATAATACATTTTTTGTTACAATCGATGTGCTGTGTATACTCACAGCCTAATGGAAGTTTTAGCTATTTTTATAATCCTTATGTTTGAAGTTCGAATATCATCCATTATTCACAAGAAAAAAAATAATTTATAAAAAGTATCTTTTTTGTATTACACGTTTGTACAACAAATTATTTTTTAGAATTTGTTAAATACCGTTAAAAAAAATAATAAAAATAAATAATAAGAATTATTTAAGGTACATTGTAATTTAAAATGAAAATATGGTGTTAGAAAATGAATATAAGTATGCATCTCTCCCAAAAAAATACCGGACGTGTAAAAAATCTTTCCCTTACATCTTTCTGCAATTTGAACTGCTTATATTTATTTGATATTAGCTGAAATATTCTTCAAAATATTATTTTGATTTTGATAGATTTGATAGATTACAAAATTACGTTAAAATCGGTTGACTAGTTTCGGAGATTAGCGTGAACGAATATCTTGACACAGATTTTTATATATGTAGTTAGTTGTTAGTTATTTATTTATACTTTTGCATACATTAAAATAGGTCTACAGGGCGGACTGTTAATGTAATTATTAACTAGCTTCTTAATATAAAATCCTAAAATATTTACTTTTAAATAAAGAGTTCGAAATACGACTACCTACTATCAACTATAGTATGTTAATGACTAATATTTCGTGATGGAAAATATCAACAAACCCAATTAGTTGAAGACACGGCGGTAGGTTTGCCACCTGGTATGTTGAATTTGAGCGGGCTAATTGAACAAGTCGGATGTTAGATATATTCACTTCTACCTGTGATTACCCATCCCATCTGAATTTAAGGTACAGCCGGGAGTAATAAAAATATTTAGGTACATTTATGGTTTGTTAATCTATACCTATATAAGTTATACATTAGTTAGGTAGGTATTATATATTTCTTTAGGTTGGGGCCCTCTAGTGTTAAAAGTTTGTAGACCTCTCTTGTTGTATAAATGAAGTATCTATCAT